TATTAGACAGTGATTTTTCAAATTAAACTGTAAATCTTATGTGATCAAAATATTTTTATATAGATGACTACAACGAAAGCAAGAGAGGCATGCCAACATTGGTGGATGAAGGAAGCGTTGGACATTTTGGTCGAACGGCTTACCTCGGAACAGAAACAAGAGGAGGAGAATGTACTGGCTTGTTCTTTCAATTAATTAACAAATCAAGATTCTCTTGCATTGTACATAGAAATTGCTTAGAAGAAGTTTCCGTCCAGCCAAAAAACTGGACTGGTTTAGGGCAAACTTCTCAAGCAGATCAGAAAGTGTAAAAGAGGAATTAGGTTAAGTTTTTATTTAATCGTAATTTGTTTTTAGTGTTTAATTGTTGCCCCTTCTCTAAGTTTCGTAATTTGTTTTTAGTGTTTAATTGTTGCCCCTTCTCTAAGTTGCTATTCTCCATCTTCTGATGAGAGAGAGCAAATTGATGTGTTATAAATAAAGGACTAGAGGAGAAGAATTTGCAGGATATATGTGCATGATGTAGTGTTCGTTTTGAATTCAGTGCATTCAATTCAGTAGTGTTCGTTTTGCAACATGATCTTAATTTTGCGACATTTTATCACTTAAATTAAAGTTTTGACAAAATATTATTTACGTCTAGTAATCTATAACTAATCAATAATACTATGATTTAGTGTTATTTGTTTTTGAGTGAGAGATTTCAAGTTTGACTAATTATAACTGACATGTTGGGATGAATTACAGGCCCATATTCTACAAGACACATTCTGAGTTTAATTTTTGGTGCTGGTGAATCGCACAATGGTAGCCAGGGGACGTTAAACTACCCCTGTAAGTCTTTCTAGCCCTCGAAAGGGTGGACTGCTATGGCAAAATCATCAACTAGTCTCCTTTGAAAAAACAGTATAACTGACGTATTGTGTCACTTAGTCTAATATATATTCACAAATATCCTCGTATCAACAAAAAAACAAAGAAATTTATGAGGACGAAACTGAAAACTAATAATTCGCAAGGATGATAGTGAAATTATAAATAAAGTACAAGGACGTTCCTACAAATTGTCCTAAGTATCAATCCACCATGTGCTGCGCTAGTAAACCCTGATGCAGGGTTTTAAACTTCAAACAAACATAACGGTCATCCCGTGCCTTTTCCGCCAAAATCAGAAAACCCTAAACAGATATTTGTCAAATGTACAAGCTTCTAAGAGCCGGCCATGGCTCTCTCTATCCTTTCCTCAGAACCCACTTCAAAGTCCCAAAATTCCTCTCCCAAATTTCCTAATTTCACAGCCCCAGAGAAACTCTAGCTCCCAATCCAAAGCTCGACTTCATAGTCAACGAAGTCACAGAGCCTTGACGATGATTTGGTTTAAAGGGATGAATTTTGAAATTATTTTTTCTTTTCAAGTTTGAGGTTGTAAGTTTAATTCATTTGGATTGAAAAACGACTGGCATCGAGTACAAAGCTTGTGATGAAATGTTTTACTTTCTGCGTATTTCAACCGGGGCTGGTTGAGACTGTTATGTGGAAATCTTTTTAAACACCCAAGTGCTTCCTGGAAAAGGTGCTTATCCAGAAAGTGCGTTTACGACACAGAAACGCTTTTTGAGTTTTTCTTTCAAACGTAGTGAAGAGTAGTTAGAAAGAGGCCCTTGTGATGCAACCTGTTTGATATTTGAAATCTGTGGGATGCACGGCACGACATGTTAAATTTAGCAGAGGAATTCGTAGGTGGAGTTTGAAATGACTGAGAGTGTTTGTTTCGCCATTACTATTAACATTTAAGCTTGCAGTTATCATTTCAAGTGTGTGCATGATAAGGATGTATCTTGTTTCTGAAGGCCACAGAAGTTATTTACCGACTTCGACTTGAAATACGATGTTTGTATGCTCGACCTTTGTTCATTAAATTCCCTTCGTTGCCAGGATGTTATCAACGAAAGATATCCAGATCATTTCCAGATGTGGATGCCCGAGCCTAGTTAGGAAAGTTGTTAATGTTGTGCCTTGGCCTGTCTATTAGTGCGGAAACGAGATTCAGATTACAACCTCACCAAATCACACTCAGTTGAACAAAATAAAATACAAGAAATAAAGACACCGAGAAATTTACGAGGTTCGGCAAAAACCTGCCTACGTCCTCCGAGAGATGTTGCTCTTCACTATGAGAATAACTAGTACAAGATACACTTGAGTTAAATCGACATAACCCAAACCCCAATCCCTTTGTACCCTTACAGAATTTTACTAAGAGACTCAGGCCATCTCTAACCGAGGGCTGGCCAGAGGGCTCGTTTGAGCCCTCTGGCCCTCCAAGATTCCCCAATATATTAATATTTTAATGAATAGTACATGGCCATATTTGCCTCCGTCTCCAACCGAGGGCCAGAGGGCCAAAGGGCTCATTTTAGCCCTGTCACAAAAACCGTCTCCAACCGAGGGTCAAAGGGCCATAGGGCCAAACATAATTTATTATTTAAAAACTACAATTTAAATTCAAATCTAACGGCTAGGTGACGTCAACATGATGTCAGCTAGCCGTTGGTAGCTGACATCATGCTGACGTTAGCTAGCCGTTGGATTTGAATTTTTTTTTTGCTATAAATAGGGTGGATATTGGGCTATAATTCACACAACTTTAAATTCAATCTATTTCAATTCAATCTCTTGCAATTCAATCTCTTTCAATTCAAGTTTGCAATGAATTCCAACTTTGGATCTTCATCCAATTCCAATTGGGGGTCCTCATCCAATTCCAAATTGGAAGCAAAATGGGCGCAAATGAGACGAGAAGATGAGGAGTCTGATGAAGAAGTTCAAGTAAGGCGCAACAAACAAAACATGGCAGCAACCATGGTGTGTCAGCCAACTGAGGAACAACCTCAATGGGGTGGCTCTGTTGCTGGTCGCTCTTACAAACCACGAAACAGAGCGATGGCGCATGCCAATCTGATGAACAACTACTTCAACCCCAACTCGGTGTACACAGAAGAGGATTTCAGACGTCGTTTCCGGATGAGGCGTCATGTCTTCGAGCGTTTACTTCGTGATGTCCAGCAGGTCAATCCATACTTTCGACAGAAGCGGGACAGAGCAGGCCGCCCTGATTTCTCACCTCATCAGAAGGTTACTGTTGCACTCCGAATGATGTCATATGGCTCCTCAGCTGATTCGATGGATGAAACCCATGGTATGTCTGAGTCTACATGCCTTAATACTCTTGAAGAATTTTGTAACACAATTGTTCAGGTTTACAAAGACGAGTACCTCCGAGAGCCAAATCAAGAAGATTTGAATCGGCTCCTTCACAAAGCTGAAGATCGTGGGTTTCCGGGCATGATAAGGTCATTAGACTGCATGCATTGGGATTGGAAGAACTGTCCCACTGGATGGCAATGAGGCTTTAGCGGAAGGTCGAGAAAGCCAACTGTTGTGTTAGAGGCAGTTGCCTCATATGACACATGGATCTGGCATGCTTTCTTTGGAGTCCCTGGATCCCAAAATGACATTACAGTTGTTGGGTGTTCACCCCTCTTCAATAACTTGACGGAAGGTAAAGCACCTCAACTTGACTACTACATCAACGGTCGTGAATACAATATGGGGTATTACTTGGCAGATGACATCTACCCAAAGTGGGCGACACTTGTCCAAGCAATTCCAAACCCTAGGAATGATGCAGAAAAGTTGTTTACCTTACACCAAGAGGCATACCGGAAAGATGTTGAGAGAGCTTTCGGTATTCTACAAGCACGGTGGAAGATTATCAACGAACCGGCAAGAGGGTGGAGTCGAGAAAATTTGAACTCCATCATGATGTCTTGCATCATATTACACAATATGATAGTGGAGGATGAGCGAGATGGGTATATTGATGGAGAGTGTGATGATGACCAAGAAGATCCAAATAGGTCAAGAAGGGCTCTAGCAAAAATATATGATAGGCCTAATTTGCCTTTCAATCCAAGAACTGGTAGTATCTCTATAAATGAGTATATGAGGCGCTATAGAATGATACGTTCTCATGCCACAAATAGGTACCTACAACAGGATCTTGTTGCACATCTTTGGGCCAAAAGAAGCATGGAGAAGGCTTTTCAGTTTTATGTTGTTAAATGTTTTTAAAAATGTTGTTTAAGTTTCATGTTGTTAAATGTTTTTTTATATTGTATAATTTGTATGTTGGTCAATGTTATTTAATGTTGTTTCATATTGTTTAATGTTGTTTCATGTTACTTAATTTAATTTAATGTTGTATAAATGGCCTAGGAAGTTATAGGAAAAAAATAGAATTGAAAAAAAATATGAAACAAATTTTGTGAAATAGAAGTTATAGGAAAAAAAATGGAATTTAAAAAAATATGAAACAAATTTTGTAAAATAGAAGTTATAGGAAAAAAATGGAATTTAAAAAAATATGAAACAAATTTTGTAAAATAGAAGTTATATGAAAAAAAATATGAATCAAATTTTGTAAAATAGAAGTTATAGGAAAAAATAGAATTTAATAAAAAATATGAAACAAATTTTGTAAAATAGAAGTTATATGAAAAAAAATATGAATCAAATTTTGTAAAATAGAAGTTATAGGAAAAAAATAGAATTTAAAAAAAAATTGAAACAAATTTTGTAAAATAGAATTGAAAAAAAATATGAAACAAAATTTGATTCATATGAAAAGGAAAAAAAAGGGGAAAAAAGGAAGTTTAAATTCATAAAAAAAAAGGGCCTAATAATACAACAGCTACTAGCCGTTATATTAAAAAATATTCAAACTATTAAAAAAAAAGAATCTCTTTAATGTTGTCGGTTATAACCGACAGCAATAGGAAAACATTAAAAAAAAATAGCCAGCCCTCCAGCCCTCTCTGATCCCGTGGGGCCCTCCCAGATTCCAGAGCCCTCTGGCCTAGCCCTCGGTTGGAGATGGTTTTAGGGCTATTTTCGGCCCTCTGGCCCTCTGGACCCTTCGGTTAGAGATGACCTCACTCTCCCCAAGAGTTTCTCACTCTCACTCTATATTTTTCTACCACCCGTTCTCATCCGAATGCACTCTCAATATAAGGTCACTCACACTCATATTTTATTCCCAACATCATGATGTCTTGAATAATCATTAAAGAAAAAGCACTACCTTTTCTCTTTTCTTACAATGATGATGTCTTTACTCATGATTATGTCTTTACATGATGATGTCCACTTCTTTGTTTAGTTTACAAGCCGAAAGGCATTTGGATTGTGGTAGTCACCATGTCTTCAATTGTTGTCAACACATGACTCATAATTACTCACAAATGTATGAGCCAAACACAACAGTTAACTCATGAAAGCGTCTAAGGGCTTATGTGGGTGTTGATGAAGGAGATGCATGCGCCTAATATCTGAGTAATTTCCTCTTATTTGAATGAGCCTATATTATCAGTCTTCTTTTGATCCAATATTAGTTCTCTCGTTTTCAATATTTTGTACTTCAAGCTTAAGATATAAGTTGGAATTGTCATATCTAATCAGAACAGGCATTTTAGTAGGTTTGCAGCTCCTGCAATTTGAGAGGAGACTGAGAGAACATACGTGAAGGCACGGGAAGATGGTGGCCGCACTGTGGATGTCATGCGTTTCTTGTTAACGTATGGGCTTGATCCCGTTATTGGTACAGTGGAGAACAAGCCATGTCTAAATAAAATGGTCAAAGAATCAGTGAGACGGCTACTCAAACAGATGGTAGAGTTTGAGTACAGCACTGAGAACATTGACTCCAATCCCCCAAAGTGTACAACTACAAGGATAAAGAGGGTCGCTTTGGTGTCAGACCATTCAATTCCACAAGAAAAAGGCCAAATAAGTTCCAATGAAGCCAGCCGACTGGCTTGGCCCCATGTAATTTGACAGCTTGATCGTGCAGTTTATGATTATTGAATCTTGATTAGTTGTTTTATCCTCAATAATATTTTTTTTCAGCGGATGCAACTTCCTTAACTTTGCTAGAAATATCAAGGGCCTTCGTTGTGATGATATTTTCCAAGAAGGACTGACACGACTAAGAGAGGATCAATAACATCTTCCGTTGAAGAAGGGGGACTGGATATGTGACAATTAATGGATGCTAAAATCTTAACATTCTTCTGTAATTCCATTTCTTATTGAGATTTAGAGAGTAAATGTCTTTTCAGATGTAGATGCTTGCAATGCAAAGAGAAGACTCCAAACCGGCAGATAAATCCCTGCAAGTGGGATGCGCATTCTTTCGTTTTCGATTTGGAAATCAATGCTTCAGTTTCAAGTGGTTCCGTTTTTCTAATTTACCTTACGTGATTAGAGATCTGTTTTCGTGCAGGTTCTACTTTAAGAGAAACATGGTGTGCTTAGAATGCGATCATAAAAGGCCAAAGGCAGCACATTCTTCGGAGATTTCTGCTGAACCTGTATGTGATGACGGAGGCTACCTTAAGAAGTTGAAGAGTTTGAATTCTACTAAGAAGATGACGCCTGCAATCGTTCGAACTCATGGAATGAGGCTTCTGGGTTAGTAGGCTTTTCCCGTCTCAGGAGGTAAGACGGAACTGTCTCAGAATCCACAAAAAAGGGACTTTGTGGAAGTTGAAGATGTTAGAGAGGAGCAAAGGCGCCTTGACGCATAAGGCAAACAATAACGAATCTAGGTATGTCAAAATTTCAAAAAGATTGGAGCTTTCTGATTCAACCGACGATGAAGAGATGTCAGAGTGGTTTGGGGGTGGAGGAAACCAGGATTAAACACCAAGGAAATCTGGATAATAAAATATCAAGTTTGGTTTGAAATCTGTGTAGGTCAGAAATCGTTTGGATTCGATTAGAACCCACATTGTTTTCATTTGGAAGCTTTAGTCATTGATGTTTGTACAGCTCAAAGTGATTTAGCAAAGATTTGTCATTAGTTCCTTTATTTTACCTTTGCATGAACTCTGCAAGAGTAAACTGACGGTATAAGTGCCAGTTTCACCGGCGAGACCAGCTCCGGCAATGGGCCATATGTGTCCTCTCGAGTGCCTGGACTAAAAAACACTGCAACTGACACCCGAGGTTCGCGGTATGGGTTTGCCAACACCCGATGAAGAGCAGCTTTGTACTCACCGTTGGACATAATCTGAAAAATTAACCAAAGCATTATTCAATTATTCAATTATTCAATTTCGATTTTGTGACGAGAAGATATACACATATTCTAGACAACTCCAATACTCGAGAGATTTGTTCAAATGTTGGGTATTCAAACGGTACTCTACATGTTATAATATAAGTGAACGAAATGATATATTTTTTTTGTCCCTCCAAGATGGTCAAGGCTCAAGACAACACTATCATCTATAAAAAGAGGCACTCCATTAGAGGATGTCAACGACATAGTTGGGGTTAAGCCACTTAACCATAGAGGTAAGTGAATTGAATGAGCAACAATGCGAAACAAGGGATCTATAACCTTTACTCCCCTAATCAAATGCAATCAATTTTTAGGGGACTTGAGAAATCATCAGCTCCTGTACTTGAAGCTGTATGAATTAATTACTGTAAGTTCTGTCATACCTGAATTTCTCCCTCAAATTAACGAAAGTATGCATTAGTAATAAAACCCACAAAACCTCGCAATAGTAAAACCCAATTTGTGAAAATATCAGCTGGTTGTTGTAAAGAGGATATGTGAGCTGTTTTGATTACTCGACTTTGCAATGTTACGCACAATTGATTGATTTCTTCAGCTCTATCGTAATCCAGTTCGCCGATCAAGGTGTTCTCCACCGCCGCTGCCGCCATGCTGTTATTTCTCTTCAAATTTCACCTCGATTCCCATTAGAGGGCTACCCATGAATGCTGCTAATTTTTATTATAGTAAAGATAAGTTACACACATCTCAAATAGTTCGTACAGTTTTGGTCAAATAGTAGTATTTTACAGCTCAAAGTGATTTAGCAAAGCTTTGCCATCCAATCCTTTCTGGAAGAACCTTTGCATGAACTCCGAGAGCGTAAACTGCCGGTAAAGTGCCGGCTTCAACGGGGAGACTAGCTCCGGCAATGGCCCATACGAGTCCTCCCTTCTGCTCGAATTGAAAAACACAGCGATGGCCACACGTGGTTCACGGGATGAGTTCGCCAACACACGATGAGCTACACTTTGGTATTCACCATTGGAAATAATCTGCAAATGAACCAAACCATTTGGTTTCAGTTTCACAGCCAACAAAATAAAGGCCAAAAATCTCTATTGCCCGCCACAAGGAAGGAAAATTCTCACTTTGCCCCCCCCCCCCCCCCCTTGCTTTTGTTTTGTGTTCGACTTTGCTCCTTGCCGTCATCTCCGTCCAAAATTTGATTAAAATTGATGACGTTGCCGTCTAATTTCATCTAAAATTCTGTGGGGAATTTCTTTTGACCTCGTATAATCTCTTTCTACACCTAGTTTACTCTTTATACCTATATTATTTTGGGTAAATTGTGATTTAATTCCCTGAACTATCACTCTAGTTGAAATTGACCCCTAAACAATTTTTTTGGTAAATTAGCCCTCTGAACTATTTAAAATCAATCAATTAACCCCTTGCCGATAGATTGCGAAATCAATTCCGTCAAATTCAATGACAAATTAGTCATTTCATCATCAATTGTTACTTAACAGTTATAACTACCAATAAAATTTTGACATATGGACATGGAGTAATTCAAAAACATATAGCATAATGAGAAAACATAAAATAAAAAAACCAAACGTATATATAACAGACAATCTCACATTGTCATTACATTTTATTTTATTTTCAAATGTCATAAGTTTATTGGTGGTTATAATTGGCAAGTAAGAATTGATGAAGGAAAAACAAATTTTCCTCTGAATTTGACCAAATAATGGATGGAATCTACCGACAAGACAATGGGTCAATTGGCTGATTTCAAATAATTCATGGGATTAATTTACCAAAAAAATAGTTTAGGTGGTCAATTTCAACTGGAGTAATAGTTCAAGAAGTCAAATGACAGTTTACCCTATTATTTTTAATTATTCTACAATATCTGGATTAAGTGATGGTAGGGTTTGAGTATTGGGTGTGAATTTATTGATAAATTTTAATTTTATTGTTAATTCATCTCGTACTTAATGGTAATAATGGAATAGGATAAAAAGGACAATTCACATTTAAAATTTAACCTGAATGTAGAGAGAAATCAAATAAGTTCAAATAAAATTTCTCTACCATTACCACCTCATCAAATTTAATGAAATTTAAGATGGAGTTTACTGCATGGAGCAACTTGGAACACGAAACATCACTCAAGGGACAAGGTAGAGTTATTACTTAAGTGTTGGTAAACTTGCTTATTTTTCTTTGTGAAATATCATTTAGTTTGCAAATTTTGTCCAAAATGTATACTACATAGCATTACCCTTTTAAAATTTAATAATGATTAATGTCACAAATAAGAAATAAACACGTTAATCTACACTTAAGTAATAATCCCTTATCAACTTTTATGTCATCTAGTTTACAAAATTCAGTTTCCTATCCATTAGTAAATTTGTAAAATCCTCATTTTTTTAGTATTTTTCACAACCTAAAAACAAAGTGTTCAGTTTTTAAAGAAATTTTTTAACGTGCTGCTCAAAATATTGTCCGATACACCATATATCTAACAAAATGAGTTGAATTAAAAAAAAAAATCATCATTTGTATGCAATTTATGGCAGTGGGCAGAAAGTAAGCAATATATTTTCACACGTAGTTAAAGGTAAAAATGGAATTTACCTGAAGAAAATCCCCAACGTTGATAACGAGAGCACCGGGGACAGGTTTCACATCCACCCAACCCTCACCGCACTTCACCTGCAGCCCACCCATGTGATCCTGAAGCAGCACGGTCAGCACTCCTGGGTCAGAATGAGATGTAAGCCCAACCGTTAGATCAGGTTGCGGGCAGTACGGGTAGTAATTCCCCACCATCGCCCTCCCTTCCAGACACGTCATCTCCTGCAACCTCTTAGAATTCAATCCCAGCCCTTCGCTCGCCAACTCCATAAGCACCTCTCCCAGCCGTTTGATCTCACGGTCCCAACAACATCCACCCGGCAAATCTCCGGAACTTCTTCAGGAACCGGTGGAATCGGGCCCAACCTCATTTGAAGCGTGTCCCTCCAGCTGGCGGCTTTTGAGCTGTAGAGGTCCAGGTTGGAGAAATACGATACACCCGTGCCCATCTCTCGACGGTAGAAGCGCGCTTTCACCTCCGTCGGCTGCTCGTGGAAGGCCCTGATGGCTGCGATCGTGCGGTCCAGGATTACGGATGGGATGCCGTGATTAGTGATCTGGAAGAACCCGAACGTGCGGCAGGCGCGGCTGATTTGGTCAACGATGGAGGAGCGGCGATGGGTGTGAAGATCCGCGAGGTCGATGGTGGGGATTGGGATATCGGGTTTGGTATGGTGTCGGGGGTCGGGTAGAGATTCGGGCTGGTGGATGAAGAAGCGGGGGATGGAGGTGAGGCCAGAGTCAACGAGGCCTTTGACTCCGAGCTTGGAGCTGTCGAATTGCTTGATTTCTTTAGCTCTATCGTAATCCAGTTCGCCGATCACGGTGTTCTCCATCGCCACCCCCGTCATGATTTTGAAAGTAAAGAGGATGATCGATTTATTAATTAATGGAAGTCCTCATTTATATTGTGGTATATTATTTGGTTTGTAATTTTAGGGGCGTTTGTTGACCCGGATTGTCTCGGACTGGACTAGCTGTAGGGACTAAGCTGGACTGGCTTAGACTAGACTAAGCTGGACTAACTTAGTGAAGCGTTTGGTGCAGTGTCGGACTAAGAAGCAGGATAATAAAAACAGTACTGTTCATCAGATTTGTGTTTGCTTACACTAGGACTACAAATTTTTGCCATTGTGTAATAAAGTAATGCTACAAATGTCATGAGAAGATACTTGTGTAATAGAGTAATCCTAAACTTTATGCAATAAAATCGAACATTAACTAATGATAGTTTTCTTGGATTATAGAGTTTAAGAAAACGGAACTCATATTAGATATTTGTCTGAAGCAAGTAAAATTGCCATGGAAAATGTCACTTAAGTTCTTCACGTGCATGATATATGGTGTTCTGGTTCTCTGTTGGGTGAAGATGACTAGGATCCAATGGTGGTAGGGTTTTGAAGGAAGGGGAAACGTGAGTACTAATACTTTGGTTTCAAGAATTCTCCAAGTGTACCCAACAAACCTTGCTCAAAAGAAAAGAAAATAGAAAAACATGGTAATTAAACAGGCTATAAGGGGCCGTCTCTTTTTCCATGTGGCATAATTCATAGCTGACTAGATTAACAAGCAAGAGCAAGTACATAAGAAGATCTCCATAATTTACAAAATACCAGTGAACTATAGTATACCATTCAAAAGTAGATCTCCATAATTTACAAACTCCTAGTTAACATTAGCCAAAATACTTCATAGTGGAAAGCTAAGTTATAAGTCATAACTTAAGATTGTACGATTAATAAAATACATCCATATCAAAGACACTACATAATATACTCATCCGCTTGCTTTGTCGCTTAAAAGCCTTTGGACAAACACTTTCTTGAGTTCTGGTTTGATTACCCTGAACACTCCCACATTTTTTTGTTTATCCAAAATAAGAGACAATGCATCAATTTGATCCATAGGAGAAAGACCCATTTCTTCAAGTTCGTTAGCTATGTCACTATGATCTGCAGTAACTTGAACTAAAGCTTCAGTTACCATTTGCATCCTCTTCCCACTTTCAACATAAAATTCTTTCAGTCCACTGATAATTGCCTCGGTTCCATCACTTGAACTTCCCACACCTCTTTTCCTCTTTCGTTGGCTATTTTCAGATGGGATGCTTTGTTGGCTTTGTTCGTTCATTGAAGAAACAAAATTTTCACCTCTAATATCACTTGCACCAACTTGATCATGACTTTGTTCCTCCACCATTTCAGCAGGGGTTTCGGCTACATTACCCGTAGCCCGATCTTTTCCAAATATATATGCGAATCGATCATACAGTGGAAAAGGTTTGCTTCTCCATCCATTGGCTTCTTTATTTTTCTAAGATTATATCAAAATAGCAAAACTAAAATTGAGCATGTGTAACAAATAAAGCAGCAAGAACAAAACTAATGTATAAATAAAATAGGATATGAACCTGCACATAAGTTTGCCATGCGTCATCACTATCAACTTCAACGCACTTTTTGACATCATTCCATGCAAATCCACTTGTGTTTATCATGTCAACGACCATACTATATGTTTTTTTCCATTTCTTTAACTTTGACTCAATATGTGGAGTTGCATTTATATTGAAATGAGGACATAAAACATTGACAGCTTTCGCTATTTCAATCAAAGTACCTTGTTTGAAAGCACCGGTATCACACCGTTGCTTCCGAGCAACAAAATCCTCAAGAACGGATAGTAATACTTCTTCCTCAAATGCTTCCCATTTACGCCTTCTTCCTTTTGGCTCTTGAGTAGCATTCAAAATATTGTCTTTATCCATACCTAAACAAAAAATATTTGAATGTACTAAAATACAATACAAATAATCAATTTACATAATATCCAATTAATTTGCATAATATCCAAATAATTTGCATACCATCCAATCAATAAAAAAGTTTTAACATTCACTGATGAGCAATCTAATAATTATGCTAATATCCAACAAAGGCATGATAAAAAGGAATACTAAAATAAAATGTTATCATTAACACATATAACTAGTTCGGTTGCTGGTTCCTAATTGCTCTCCACTCATTATACATTTCCTGAGCCATGACATTCCTCTTTGCAGTCCACTGGTCAGATGTTTCAACACTACCAACATATTCACCTTCTTCTGTATTTTGTCCATCTTGTATTATTGGCAAATTTTCCAGTGGATCTACAGACATCTCTTGCCTAATAAGATTGTGTAGTAGGCAACAAGCGGTAATTATTCGACCTTGTGTCCTTATCAAATAGAAAGATGGACTTCTTAGTATCGATCACCTTCCTTTTAGCAAGCCAAAACAACGTTCAATTACATTCCTTGCCTTAGAATGCTTCATGTTAAAATACTCTTCCTTATTAAAAGGTGTTCGTCCCTCCCATTCAGATAAATGATAAGGTATTCCTCTATAGGGTGCAAGGAATCCTTCACCATTTGTATAACCACCATCTACAAGGTAATAATAACCTAATAAAAAAAAACGTTATTAGTGTTTTGTAGTTGACAAACAAAACTAGACATAACTTACAAAGTTGAGACTAACTAATACTCTTACCCGTTGGTACCTTAAAACCATTAGGCCTAGTAATTGCATCATGTAGCACTCTAGAGTCTGATGCGGAACCCTCCCAACCTGGAAACACATATATGAACTGCATATCGCCTGAACACACACCTAACACATTAGTTGCGGCTCGACCCTTTCTTGTTCGGTATCTTGGTTTGTCAATTTCATGTACATGCATATCAATGTGTGTTCCATCTATTGCTCCCAAGCAATTCTAAAAAAAAATAAAAAATTAAGCTTTTGTTAATTTATACAAAGGGAATGAAGAGTTAAAGCTTAGGGAAAATGAAAAAAAAATTATCATACCTTAAAACATCGCCACCTAGGATCTGTAGAATCAATAGGCACAGGCTGAGGGACTTTTAGTAGGATACCTTGTAATCGCAAAATTCCTTGCAATACGCTATTGAAATACCTACTTATAGTCTCTCTCGACCTATAAAATCTACCGTCAATACTACGATTCTTAGTATGATGTGCTAGTATTTGTAAAGTCATACACACATGCTCCTCTACAGACACCAAACCATCAGTTTTTACCCTCCCATCTTGACTAAGTAAGTCACATAATATGGCAAAAGTCCTTCTATCCATTCTCAATTCGTTGACACATTCAATATCAATATTTCCTATTATACCATTCAGATAACACAAACTAATCTCTCGTCTAACAAGTGAACGATTAGTCAAAGTGGATCATTCAACATGTCTCTGTTTGGCCCTTAGCATCATCACCACAAGAATCGTACAAATGCAAATTGTCTCTAAATGAGACATCTCTAACAATAAGATCAATAAAAGCTTCATTCGATCCATATCTATCCAAACAAAAAAAAAAAGGAAAATAAAATAAGGACATTATATATGTAATATTTACTGTTATTAAGGGTGATGGAAATGAAGTGATTATGATACGAAATGAACTAGATCAAAATAAATGGTATACAAAGAATTCTGAAACAAGTAACTGCATTAACAGCCCAAAAAATAAACAGCCAAGTCACAATTAATGTTGGATCAACAAAAAAAAAAAACCAGTCAAGTCACAATTGCTAGGCATTGCATGTTAAAAGGGAAATTAAATGACACCTGTGAAGCGGTAGTCTTAGCCTTATCCTTCCGTTTATGCTCCTCTTCTTTGCAACCAACAACCACAGAATATTGCAGTTCAGCATACAAAACATTCACATTGTAATATCATGGTTATAAACTAAATACACACACACACTTACAGAGCACACACACACATTTCCAGTGCAGAATACACACACACACACAGAGACACCAACTAAAGATACACACACACACACACATTCACAGACCAACTAAAGATACACACACACAGAAACACACCAACTAAACTCACAGACCACAAAAAAAACATCTGTTCTAGTTCAAGATCAAAAGATGAGCAATTAAGTAAGGACAAACAAAATAGTTCAAACCGGACATTAAACTTTTGAGTGAAACTCAACCGCAACATTAGAATATAAGCAGAGAGATTGTTACAAGGAGAACTTCCAGTTGGAACAAAAATTCTAGACCAACCCTACCCCCTTCCCTGCCTCACCCTCTCTCGCTCCCCCCCACGTTAATGAGTACACACATACAAACACACACACACACAGTACACAAACACACACACGCAGTACACAAACACACACACACACACCCCCACGTTAATGAGTACACACAAACACACACACACGCACACAGTACACACACACACACTTCAAGTGCAGTACACAAACACACACACACATACACAGAAATTAGATACACACAAAGTACACACACACACAGGCAGTACACAAACACACACACACAAAAATTACACACACACACACACACAGTACACACACACACATACACAGAAATTAGACACACACAGGCAGTACACAAACACACACACACACACACCCCACGTTAATGAGTACACACAAACACACACACACACACACACTTCCAGTGCAGTACACAAACACACACACACACAGAGTACACACACACACACATACACAGAAATTAGACACACACACACAGGCAGTACACAAACACACACACACACACTTCCAGTGCAGTACACAAACACACACACACACACATACACAGAAATTAGACACACACACACAGGCAGTACACAAACACACACACACAGAAATTACACACACACATACACAGAAATTACACACACACACATAGGTAGTACACAAACACACACACACACACACCCCCCACGTTAATGAGTACACACAAACACACACAGAAATTACACACACACACACAGAGTACACACACACACACTTCCAGTGCAAAATACACACACACACACACACTCACAGAAATTACACACAGAAACACACCAACTAAACTCACAGACCACAAAAAAAACATCCATTCTAGTTCAAGATCAAAAGATGAGGAATTAAGTAAGAACAAAAATAGTTCAAACCGGACACTAATCTTTTGAATGAAACTTAACCGCAACATTAGAATATAAGCAGAGAGATTGTTGCAGGGATGACTTCCAGTTGGAACAAAAATTCTAGACCAACCCTACCTCCTTCCCTGCCTCACCCTCTCTCGCTCCCCCCCCCCCCACATTAATGAGTACACACATACACACACATACACACAGAGTAATAAGTACACACAAACACACACACACACCCCCCCCACGTTAATGAGTACACAACCACACACACACACAGAGAAATTACACAAACACAGAGTACACAAACACACACACAAAGTACACAAACACACACACACCCCCTACGTTAATGAGTACACACAAACACACACACACACACACAGAGAAATTACACACACACACACAGTACACAAACACACACACACAGAGTAATGAGTACAGACACACACACACACTTCTGCACTAACTCATCAATTCATCCTAATTTGGTAGATAAAAACATACAGTGAAAGAGGTGTTTGGAGAGAGTATGCTTGGAGACGAGGATTTTTGGTAATGACATACACATAAATTACACACACACACACATAGTACACTAACACACACACACACACGCAGACACACACACGCACAGAGTACTCCCATTGTTGAAACCCCAATTTTTAAAAATCGAAAACAACATGTGGGTAGGACTTCCAAGTTTTACAACTTTGACATCCTAAATTCCCAAGTTCCATCTCATCTTATGAAAAGCCCAAATTCTAATTTCAATTTCACCTAAATATCAAAACCCTAATTTATTCAAGTGCAGATCTCTATGATTCAAAAATTATCAAACCCAAAACAACAAAATCAAATAAAGCTCAGTAAAATTACCATCTGCAACACAAATACATGAAATTAATAGAAGAATCGAAGTTTACCATACAAATGAGGGCGAGCAGATGCAGAGATCGGAAGACGCAGAGATGAGGGTGAGGAGGACGAAGATGAGGGAGCACGGCAAGGACGACGTTGAGGGAACGTAGAGATGAGGACGAAGGGCTTGGACTGGACGAAGGGACGACGCAAAAAATCTCTCGGTTTTCTCTGGCTTACGAATCCGCCCGATTTTGGGGTTGCTCGTTAAGAACGGCTAAGGAGCCAGTTAGTCCAAGCGAGTCCAGGTTAAGCTCATTAAAGCTAATCCGGATGCACACCAAACGTCGGACTATAGTCTAGTCCAGTCCAAGCCCTCTTAATCCTGTCAAACAAACGTGCCCTTAGTCTCTAAATTTAGTTTTCTTATCATTACTCAATTTTTAAATTAAATTAGTAAATCAAATGAGACGTCACAAATTAAAAATAAGCATGTTAATTAACGTTTAAAAAATAATTCAATCATCGATAATTATATTATTTAATTTACAAAATTTAAACTCCTCATTATTTTCATTAGCCAAAACAAAGAGCACAAGTGCCTAAACAATTAGCCAAAACAAAGAGCACAAGTGCCTAAAATATTGTGTAGTCCTAAGACAATGGGTCATGATAAGGTTTTAACAATTGCAACCAATAAAATGTAAAGTCATTACACAAACTCTCAAGTCCCTCCTATTTAATATCTGTTTGGACCCAATTTTACATTATTAGTCTGAGTAATCGAGACCGTTGAATGAACATAATTTTATACCGTTGAATGATAAAGTGATTGAAATGATTTTTAATTATTATTGAGAAATAATATTATGATTTTAATTATGATATTATCTCTTAATATTATATTAAATTATTTAAACCTAATATTTGTCTAAATCCCAATTGATTTGAATGATGATGGAATATGGGGATATACTTTAAGATACGACATCAGATAATGAAGCATGCATGGGATGATTATCATATAAGTGCAAATGGTGCACGCGTTTTGATGTTGTTTTGGTTTTGGCCACATGGATGCATATGAGCAAAAATAAAGGAGATGCCGCATGCAATGGCATATTCCAGTTTAAACTAGAACTATTACGATGATCTGGTGAATGGGTGATAAGATTTACATGGATTGCGTGTGGTTGGAAGAAAGTATGTGGCATGCATGGCTGCATCCAGACAAATAAGTGGTCAACCAAAAGGAAAATATTGGTATTGGATAATGATGAGATAAGAAACTTAGGTAGGCTAGGCCTTTTTGCATGGTGATGGATGTTGTCAGATGAGTTTGAAGTGATAAGAATTGATCACAATGCATGTCGTGCGAAAAGGTACTTTGAGATTTCAAAAGGATGCATGTGTCTGCTTTTGCAGAAATCCACGGGCATAAGGAGACTAGGTAGATTTTTGCATGTGTCAAAGATAATATTAGTTATTTGATATTATTTTTGGAGTGTATTCGGAAAAGGTCTCTATTGGATTGTCGATCAAGGAGACTCGGCAATAAATACAAAGTTGCAAACATCTCATCAACCCTTTCAAATCAACACATAAATTGCCCTGCACAAAGCTTCTTAACAACTTTGAGATTTTTTCCTCTTCCCCTTTCTTCCTGCCAACACATCTTCAGTTTGGATAAACCTGAAGGCAACCGGCGACATCTTCAGTTTGGATAGACATCACTATAACCATAGAATCAGCCAATCGAGGAGCACCTTCAATTTGGATAGACAACACTGCTTTGAGACCGACTGATTATTTATCCAAGTCTCGATCAACAAGGATTTCCAAGTCCTTGTTTGTAGAGGTCATCTCACTAGCCTTCTCGGCGAAGTGAGGTGTTACAGGTCGGGTCCTAGGCTTGACATATAGGACGCCGAGTTTTATTTTATGATTGGATATTCACAAGTATATTTTAGAGTTTGGCATTCCAACAGCCAAACCACATTTACTATCAAGACATTTATCATTTTCGAGTATTTGTATTCGTATAGTTTGATACCAGTATGGTGTACCTATACTCACGAATATAATTTACTCAGACCGAACCTTGTGCTGACGATTTGTGAACTTCGCAGAACTAGTAGCCTTGTCTTCAGGCTCTAGAACACGAAGGTTAAGACGTGTTCCTTCCTCGGCCGCAGTCGCAAGATCAAGAAGTCAACAGTGCGCCCAACGCGACATCAACACATTTTACTACCTAACCAAGCTCGGCCGGCAAGTTGGCACGCCCCGCACACAATCAAAGAACGTAGTTAGCTTATTAGTTACTCGGCCAGATCGCCACGTAGGCTTGGTAGTTCTCAAAATCATTTATCCCGGCTTGGTAATGCCTCCGCCACCGCATGAGAGGGCAACCCATTATTTCTACGTGTAGAACGACGAACTTAAGAGTATGTGAACGAATGCTCTTAATTGTCGAAGCAGACTCCACATTTGATAATCCAATTCGTATTTTTATTACAATAAAGATGAGGACACACCTCTCAAATACAATGGGTCATACTTCAGTTCTGGTCATATAGTGGTATTTTACAGCTCAAAGTGATTTACCAAAGCTTTGCCATCCAACCCTTTATTGAAGAACCTTTGCATGAACTCTGAAAGCGTAAACTGCCGGTAAAGGGCTGGTTTCTCTGGGGAGACCAGCTCCGGCAATGGCCCGTATGAGTCATCCCTTCTACTCACATTGAAAAACACAGCGATTGACACACGGGGTTCACGGGATGAGTTCGCCAACACACGATGATCTACACTTCGGTATTCACCATTGGACACAATCTGAAAACGAACCAAACCATTACATTGAGTTTCGGTTAAACAGCAAACAAAATAAAGGCGAAATAGTTCTATTGCCCGCCAAAAGTAAGGATAATTCTCACTTTACCCCCCTTTACTTATGTTTTGTGTTCGACTTTGCTCCTTGTCATCATCTCCGTCCAAAATTTTGGTTAAAATTGATGGCATTTCATGTATAATTTCATCTAAAATTCCGTTAAAATAGTACCACTACGACCTCATCAAATTTAAAGAAATTTAAGATTGAGTTTACTGCTTGGAGCAAATCGTAACTCAAAGCATTACTCAAGGGGCAAGGTAGGGTTTACCTTAACACCAAGAACAAACTGCAATTTAACAGTTCTACAATTAAGCCTAATAACAAATAAACTAGCAGGGAAATTTACTGAATGCAGATACAAAGTTTGATTGCTAAAGAGAAAATCGGTTAAAGTGATTTCGACATGTGATAGAGATGCTCTGGCAAGAACGACTATTAAACAAAGGCAAAAAAACGTAGAAGACTTAGAAAGAGACTTAAAAATAAAATTTCGAGTACTTGGGGCAAACGGAATACTTCGTGCAAAACTGAGCACAATAACATTTTAAAGGTCATACATCTAACCCCTCTTAGGCCTAGTTTGATATTACTTTTTTTTTTCACCAAAAATTGTTTTACTTTAAAGTTAAGCAGTAAAAAAAATCTTTGATAAAAATAAAATATACTACTTATTTTAAAAATAATAGCAGTCAAACAACAGTTTTAAAAAAGAGCACGTAGGTTGCTCTTAAAAGCCGATTTAATACAAAGCGAAGTTGAACCTTTGAAATACTTTTAACTCCGGTAATAAGTTCATTAATTTTAAACAATGACATTATTTATAAACATTGCTTTTACATTATTTTATATACCCACAACACTTTTAAAAATACAAATTATCAAACTTTCAACTACTTTCTTTTGCAATTAATTATTCTTAAAGTACAAAACAAGCAATTTATTAAAAAAAAAACACAATAATCGCAAATTGACCCTTAGTGGAATATGACTTAATTGTTGTTGTATTGATATGTTGTCGTTTTGATCATTTGTAGATGTGTAAAACACTCATTTTTTTAGTCAATTTCACAACCCAAAAACAAAGCGTTGAATTTTAAATGGCATAGGGTTACTTTCACAGGCAGTAAGAGTTAAAAATAGAATTTACCTGAAGAAAATCCCCAACGTTGATGACGAGGGCACCGGGAACAGGTTTCACATCCACCCAACCGTCACCGTACTTAACCTGCAGCCCACCCATGCGGTCCTGAAGCACCACGGCCAGCACTCCCGGGTCAGAATGAGATGTAAGCCCAACCGTCAGATCAGGTTGCGGGCAGTACGGGTAGTAATGGCCCGCCATCACCCTCCCTTCCAGACACGTCATCTCCTGCAACCTCTTCGGGTTCAATCCCAGGCCTTCGCTCGCCAGCTCCATCAGCACCTCCCCCAGCCGTTTGATCTCGCGGTCCCACTCAACTACATCCTCCCGGCAAATCTCCGGTACTTCTTCAGGAACAGCGGGAATCGGGCCCAACCTCACTTGAAGCGTGTCCCTCCAGCTGGCGGCTTTTGAGCTGTAGAGGTCCACGTTGGAGATATACGATACGCCCGTGCCCATCTCTCTGCGGTAGAACCGCGCTTTCACCTCCGTCGGCTGCTCGTGGAAGGCCCTGACGGCTGCGATCGTGCGGTCAAGAGTTACCGATGGGATGCCGTGATTAGTGATCTGGAAGAACCCGAACGTTCGGCAGGCGCGGCTGATTTGGTCAACGACGGAGGAGCGGCGATCGGTGTGAAGATCCGCCAGGTCGATGGTGGGGATTGGGGTATCGGGTTTGGTATGATGTCGGGGGTCGGGTAGAGATTCGGGTGGGTGGACGAAGAAGCGGGGGATGGAGGTGAGGCCTGAGTCAACGAGGCCTTTAACCCCGAACTTGGATTGGTCGAATTTCTTGACTTCTTCAGCTCTATCGTAATCCCGTTCACCGCCGATCGTGGTGTTCGCCGCCATGGTTTCTCTTTTTCCGGTCAGAGAAAATTGCTTACCACAAAGTCCGAAAGGATGATACAGAGGCCCTGGATTTAGGCAGCAGGCACTGTGTATGAATAAATAATGGTTTTGGTGGGAGAGAATTCGGATAAGACGTGTTGCCCCGGAACTCCATCTTCATTGCCAATGGGTAAATTACACTGTCGCTCCCTAGTGTTTTGTTCTTTTTTCATAAAAGTCCATAAATTATGAACATTACAATAAAACCCTTGAGGTTTAAATCTATTTTACTAACACCCCTATGGAGTAGCATGTAATTTAAGAAAACTTTGAAAGGTTTGTAGAAACACGAAAATTCTCAGTCATCTCAGATTCTCAAAATGTCAATTAGACAAAAATAAGGGGAATCAGAAATAGAACCAATCCATCTGGTTGCGGTTTGGTTCGATTTGGAAGAGAGATATTCTGACCAAACCGTCGGTGACGTTCAGTTCGGTGCGATTTTGAGGCTTGAATCAAAATAGAACCAAATCATTTATTTGCGGTTTGATTCGATTTCAAACGGTTTTTATTTCAGTTTCAAACCATTTGCAAACTAAATGTTTTATGTCATTAATACAACATAATTGAGTTATGGCATTAGTAATACAACCCCAAAAAATAAATTGTTCATGTAATTCAACAAAAAAGTTTTGGTGTTTCAACTTTCAAGTTCCTACTTTGCATTGTCCAACCCTTTCACTTTCCTTTTCGACACTTACTCTTCTAGAGCTTATGAGGCCTTTAAGCTTGTGAAGGGGCTTATCAGCGATACCTCGGAAGATCTTGGACGTTATGAAAGTGAACCAATGGATGAGCAGCCATTGAACCTTGTAAACTAAAAGCTTGAGATCTTCTTGAAGCTTGTTATTGTGGTTGGATTAAGAGTAAGAGAGGCGATGCTTGAATTCAACTTGGCCAACTTTACACAATACAAAAACATAAACAATATAAATTACATTAGTTGTTCGAAACTTTTTGAAGCCCACAAATATATTTTTTATACTATGTAGTTCGATTTTAGACATTAAGAACCAATGCCAAACTGTTTTTTAGCTTGCGGTTCGGTTTCAAACCGAAACCGTTTCAAAATCACAAAAACTGAACTGTTTGGTGCAGTACGTCTCAGTCCATATTATATTTTCGATTTTCGGTTTCAAGTGCTCACCCCTAATTACAGTTGGAAGCTAAGAACTATCAAACATTAATAAATTAATAAAAAACACTAATGTAATTTAATAATTGCCAAAACCAAATCCATGATCAGCACTATCAAGAAATAAGGCCAACTATAACATGATTCACAGCTGCAAAATACAATAGTGAATGGTTCATACCGTTTTACAGCCTAAAGTGATTGACCAAAGCTTTGCCATCCAATCCTTTCTTGAAGAACCTTTGCAGCAATTCTGACAACGTAAATTGCTGGTAAAGTGCCGGTTTCTCCGGCGAGACCATCTCCGATAGTGGACCATACGTATCCTCTGTATTACTTGGCCTGAAGAACACTGCAATTGCCACACGTGCTTCGTGTTTTGGGTTAGCTAACACCCGATGATCTACGCTTTTGTATTCTCCGTTGGACATAATCTGAAAGTCAACCAAAGATTCGTTCTTGTGACACAATGAAAGTTACAGGTTAAGAAATCACGAACAACCACCTTGCATATAATTCTGGAAAATTGAAATACCAAAGCTTATATATTCCCGTGGAATCGTAACAACAGAAGAAAGTAAAACGAGAAAGTATGAAAATACTTATTTCGGTTAAATATCAGAGAAATTCTTATATTTCGTCTAAATCAGTGCTTGAAATTCTCTAAATTTAATATTAAATTTTCTGAAAATATGACTTTAACCCCTCAAACTCAATTTCTTTCATATAAAACCCGACATAACATTTTTACTCGAATAAAACCCAATGACTAGACTTCACATAAGCAAATTCATTAATTATGACATTTTAAATTTTTCGAATGCCTAAAATACCCCTTTTTGCATGTTTAATGTGCACAATTAAACATATGCAGATTTTAAGGAGGATTAATGATTTTACAAAAATAAAATAATAAAAAAGGCATAAATATTCTAAATGCATTGCATGTTATATGAATTTGGTTGATTCATGTTTCTCTCACTTCATAAAATTTGCTTCTAATTTGATATAGGAATTAATTTGGAAAGTTTTCTTAATCTTAATAACAATTTTCAATTTAAATATATTTTTTAATGAAATAGTCTATCTTTTAAAATATTTATCAATAAAATAATGTACCTATATATATATATAATTTTTTTTTTGCCAACTATAAATTTTTACCATAATTTACCTATATAATAATGTACCTGTTATTTAATTTTTACAACACTAATGTATCTTAAAAAATAATTTACTTATTGTTTAGTTTTAGCAAAAATAATTTACCTACTGTGTATAATTGGTGAAGCTAATATGATGTACATATTGTTTAATTTTTTAAAAATTAATGTATGTACAAAAATAATTTATCTATTGTTCAAATTTTAGGATAAAAATTTACATGTTTTTATTTAACAATAATGTATCTACAATTTTATTTTTGTATGAATATAATTTACCTACTTTTTAATTTTATATGAAACTAATTTACCTACTGTGTCAGTAATGTATCTACAATTTTACATACAATATTTACCTTTTTTTTTTCACAACAATAGTGTATCTACAATTTTGTTTTTGTATGAATATAGTTTACCTACAATTTAACTTTTCAAAAAATGTATCTTCTATTTTATATTTTACTATCATATATATGTTTCTGTGTTCGCAAAATAATTTATCTAAAGTTATATAGTTAAGAGATATGCTAATGAATTATATTAATTCATTATTAGACTGATATAAGAAATTGTTAAAAACGTTAGCCATAATGGTTGGCTAATAATGGTTGTATGAGAACAGTTATAGAAAGTTGTGGCATAAATTGTAAATAACTTATATTAATATGTTACTTATTTTCTTATGTGGTAATTTATTTAAATTTTGGGTTTTGATTGAATGTTTATTCATAGGTGGGTTTTTATCTGAAGTATATGAGTTGTATGGGTCTATATCTAAACAACCCTTAAATTTTCATCATTTCTATTGAAAACAGTCAATATCGAAATTGTTACGATATATTCTTTGATATTTTCACCAATATTTCGACACTGAATTTATCTTTATTAGAGAACATCGGCAGTGAGATCAGTTTTGTAGTTGAACTACATTTACCTGAAGTAAATCCCCGACGTTGATAACAAGAGCACCGGGGACCGGCTTCACATCCAGCCAACCCTCACCGTATTTAACCTGCAATCCACCCGTTTGGTCCTGAAGCAGCACGGTCAAAACTCCCGGGTCAGAATGAGACGCAATCCCCACCGTCAGATCAGGCTGCGGGCAGTAGGGGTAGTAGTGGCCCACCATCATCCTCCCTTCTAGACACGTCATCTCCCTCAATCTCCACGCATTCAATCCCAGTCCTTCGCTCACCAGCTCCATCAACACGCCTCCCAGCCGTTGGCTCTCCTGATCCCACTCAGCAACCGCATCCCGACAGATCTCAGGCACCTCTAGAGGATTCGCCGGCGTGGGGCCCAACCTAACTGCTAGCGTGTCCCTCCAGCTGGCGGCTTTTGAGCTGTAGAGGTCGAAGTTGGAGGCATAATTTACGCCCGTCACCGTATCCCTACGGTAGACCCGTGTTTTGACCTCCGCCGGCTGCTCGTGAAAGGCCTTGATGGCTGAGATCGTACGGTCCAGAGCTGCCAACGGGATTCCGTGATTTGTGACCTGGAAGAAACCGAACTTTCGACACGCCTGGTTGATTTGGTCAACGATGGATGAACGGTGATGGGTGTGCAGGCCGGCGAGGTCGATGGTGGGGATCGGTGTTTGTTGGGAATCGGATTTTGTATCGGGTAGAGTTTCGGGTGGGTGGATGAAGAAGCGGGGGATGGAGGTGAGGCCAGAGTCAACGAGGCCTTTGACTCCGAGTTTTGTGTTGTCGAAATCCTTGATTTCTTGAGCTCCGTCGTAGTCGTGTTCGCCAATCACGGTGGTCGCCGCCATGCCTGCTCTGTAGAGTTCAGCTCTGGTGTCTCTTTCTTGATTTGATATAAAAACTGTGGGTTAGCATTTAATTAGCAGAGTGATACGGCCGGCGCGAGCAAATTAATAATACGAATTGAATTGTTAGATGGCAAGTACAGTACAGTTGACTAAACACGTACTCCCAGGCTCCCACTCCCACAATTGCTTATTTATTAATTGGGTTTCTTTTTTTTTCTTTTTTTTTGGGTAAATTACATAGTGGCCTCTCATGTTTGAGGTCTATTGCAATCTTATACAACATCTTTAAAATATTTCACTTTCATACCTCAAGTACTATTTTATTTCAATTTCATATAACCGTTATATTTTTCATCCATGGATCTGTTAAATGCTGACGTGGCTGCCAAATATCTGTCACGTGGCAAATAAAATAATTTTTTAATTAAAAAAAAAAAACATATCTGCCACTTTTTTTTTTCTCTTTCTTCTTCTTTTCTTTCTCTTTCTTCTTCTTCTTTTCTTTCTCTTTCTTCTTCTTCTGGGTTCGGACCCTTTTTTTTTTTTTTTTTTCCTTCTTCTTATTCTTCCTCCTCCTCCTCCTCTTTCTTCTTCTCTTCTTCTTCTTCCTCCTTCTTCTTCTGGGTTCCATCCTTTTTCTTTTTTTTTTCTCTTTCTTCTTCTTCTCTTTCTCTTTCTTCTTCTTCTTCTCTTTCTCTTTCTTCTTCTTCTGGGTTCGGACCCTTTTTTTTTTTTTTTTTTTCTTCTTCTTCTTCTTCTTCTTCTCCTCATCCTCCTCTTTCTTCTTCTCTTTCTTCTTCTTCCTCCTTCTTCTTCTGGGTTCGGGTCCCTTTCTTCTTTTTTTTTTTTTTTCTTCTTCTTCTTTTTCTTCCTCCTCCTCCTCCTCCTCCTCCTCTTCCTCTTTCTTCTTCTTCCTCCTTCTTCTGGGTTCGGACCCCTTTCTTTTTTTTTCTTTTTTTTCTTCTTCTTCTTTCTCCTCCCTCCTCTTTCTTCTTC